TTCGATACGACCACTCAGGGTCGTCGTCGCTCCACAACAGCACAGAGAGCGGCGGTTAAGTCCTCAGCAGGGAACGGTCTAATAGGAGGGATTCGAAAAGAGTTGTCAAATTTATGGTACTTAGCGATGCTCTCGCGCTCCTCCTGGATGAGATCCTGGGCTTTGCGGAAATCACGTGTTTTCCGACACGCATCGAGTTTGATGCACATCTCAGAAGGCACCAACTTCGGCATCGTCGAATCCTGATATTATGAGTATAACTTCAAAATCGACCAATTCCCCACGCAGTGTCGGAATATATATTTCGTTTTCTTCACTGAGCTCGCATTATGAACATCCACACACCAGCTAACAATATATGATTTAAAGTTTTTATATTCTTACCAACAAATGCATATATTCCCTCACTGCTTCCGCGTCTCACCTCAGCAGTGCGGGAATATATGCACATAGTCAACTACATGTGTTGCTAGCAAAATGCGAATTTTGAGAAAATTTTGCGAAATTATCGTTGATTTCTGTATACTTATACCCAAAATCGTGTGATTTTTCATAAAATAGTGAGGAAACCTACGAGCTCAGTTGAGGAAACCAAACATATATTCCTGTACTGCACCTCATAGTCATCGTCCTCGAATGAGCCCAACGTGGTGGTGTTGTTGTGTTTGGAAATTGTCTGGACGCTCCGGAGTGCGAGTGATCGCAGATGTCTCCGACATGGAATGCGACGAAGTAGCATAACTACAGCAGCAGCAGCAGCAACACTACAGTGATCGAAGCCCTAAACGACTAAACTCCGTTCATGCGTATGTGAGGGCTTGTCCTTAAGGCTCAAGGACTGCTGTACCACAAACGGGACAGCATAGCTAGGACAGCTATGAATATCTAGGTAGGACAATATCTACCACAGCTAAGCTCAAGGCTTAATCTAAGCTGTGTTAGATATTCATATATTCCGTAATGCTATAAGTAACGTGAACAAGTTATTCATTCATCGACTCGAGTGAATTGTGTTAACGACGAACCCTTATCGGTTGTAGAGTACTGCGATAGGTGTGACTATCATTACGAATAGTGATGGTAGACATATGAAAACGAGTTGAACGTGTTTCATCGTTCTTTATGAAATGGAATAATAATCATGAGTACCACAATTCGAGATCAGTCTCGTCACGGAAGGCTACCTCTCGAGACTACTGTAGTCGGCCTGAGGAAGGCCGCATACTCTCCAGAGAAACTATACCTCAAGCCTAGCTCATATGAGGACGTGTAGTAACAGATGTCCGATCATACAACCATTTCATGAATCGCGAGAGCAAGCATGAACCCCCCTTACTAGTGAAGACGATGCTGCGGAAAAGGCATGTTACTCTTCCCAGACCTGATACGATACGCGCGAACTGGGCGGGACACTTTTTCCTTTCGTTTTACCGAATTTTAACCTAATTCTCCCACCGTTAAACTCTTCATGTCGTTAAAACTCGACAAAAAATACTCATCTAATTTTCACCTCACTAACCTAGCGCGTCCCTAGCGTTCTGATGGACAAACCACTCCAGGCCAGTGTGGGAATATATGCACATGTTCAATGTGAGGTTCCTGAGTTTGTCATGTTTTCTGTCGTAAAAGCCGTTCACGTACTCCGTAATTGACGTTACAGGTTTCCCTCCGTAAGCGTAAACATCAGTCGTAACGGTCCGTAACGTAAATCTGCCCATCTATACACATGGTCAACTACATATGGAAATTTTGCGGAATTTTTGAGAAATTATCGTTGATTTTTGTATACTCCTACCCAAAATCGTGTTATTTTTCATAGTATACTGAGGAAACCTACGAGCTCAGTTGGGGAAAACCAAACATATATTCCCATACCGCTCCAGACTGTTTCGATTCGGACTGGGAACTCAAAAGTCGACGATATAGAAATAATATAACTACGATTTATTACATTGTGAAAACACTGTGGTCATGATGAACATACAGCTATGCATGCGACATGCCAATACTGATGCAGTAAAAACAACCTTACTAGGATTCGAACCAGGGACCTATCGGCGAAGGCTCGCTCTACTCGCCTCAAACGCGCTATCTTCATCTTCATCCGAGGACGCCGTTCGACTCGCCTTCTTGTTCGGCGACTAACAGCAACCGGTAAAGAGCAACTCTCACAACACAAACACCTTCTTCGGGTAAGCCTCCATCGCCATTTCAAGATCAGCTTCCGTACGGTGGGACTGCGACACAGATTTGCATTGTGAATCTACACACCTGCTTACCATCTCTCGCGCAAGAATCAACCTACCCTTTCCTCCAACATGACCAACGCTTACTGGTGAGACATCGCCGAGCTTGTGCGTTGTGGCAGAGTCTCGCCGCGTTCGACGTAGAGTTTCCTCCACCTCCAACATTCTCAATCGATACCGTTCCTTCTCCAACTCGGCGTTCTGAGTAGCATCCAACCAGCCAGGCAAAACTTGTTCAAAAAATTCACCTCGAGTAAAGAGGTATACATCCTCGCATTTTCGCTCTCTTGTTTGCACCGCTCCTTCGTGAAATCAAGTTCAGATTTCAACTTAGCCGTTTCTGCCCGCAGCGCGGACACCTCAGAGGAGTGCTGCTGTGCCTGTGAGCCCGACACAGGTCCGCCTCGCTCAACCAACCCCTCCTCAACTGCCGAGTCCAGCTGCTCCACCAGCCACGCGTCAGCTTCCGACGACACAGTCTTTTGCGGAAGGACACCGTCGATGGAATCCTGTAGATCACTCATCAACTTCGATGATCGATGGGACTCCTCCTAGAATAAAACTTTGCATTCATACCACTCCTTCCGCAACTCGTGTTCAAAACTATCACTACCCGCCGTGGACTCCAACAGTATTACTCTTGAGAATTAATAACAGTAATAATAATACTATAAAAAACTCTAAAACTCGTTACTCTAATAATAATAAATTCATTAAAATCAATAAAGTCTCACCCGTTTCACACCGCGAGTCGATATTCGCGGTGCTATGCAGTAGTCGTGAAATATAGTGTTTTTCATATCACTAGGGTGGCGAAACATTATACACTAATTCACCCAATGAATATGCATTTCCATCGTCACTGTCCTCTCACCGCATGCTGGCCTCGCATACGATCCCGCTCTTGCTTCAACTGCGCGATTTCCTTCCTAAGGCACCTCTGGTCAACTTCATGCATCGCGTTCTGATTTCAAAGTCATCTTGCAATCTTGCATTTCCTCAACGCATTTTCACACCAGATTCTCAATTTCCCGAAGTAACTGTCCCTCCCTATCTGGCGATACGTAGTCGCGGAACTTGTCCTTCATCTCCTCTCTCGCCTTGAAAGCCGCAGCATACCGCTCCTGCTCCAATTCATGTTCCTAACAAATCTTGAAATCTTGCTCAATCTTGCATTTCCTCAAATCTCTTCACCTTCCGTAAAGCAGTGTACGCCTTCTCTAACTTCGTGAAAGTAATACACTGAAAAATATCAACGACCTCTCGACATTTCCCAGTTTCCTGGACCTACTCTAGAACACGATACGAGCTGGACTTGGCGTTGTTGAACCTTGCGAGCCTCCCCCTGCCATTTCCGAACCTCTACTTTGAACATATCCACCACTCGCTGTGTCGCAATGTGCTGAAGACAGATACCAAAATACCAGATTCTCTAATAGGCGTAGAAATATCGAATTCCCTAGCGACCGCAGTACTCCATTTTTAGTATAAAAATTTAGCAAGGTTGGAAGCGTTTACTCCCATAAGTGCAATCGCCAAGCAACGAAGGATGTCGAGAGTTCGTCGAGTTATGGTACTAAACTGCGTTTTTATAGGATATCCATTGCGCACCTCCTCCGTTTTCTCTGCCAGTTTCTTGCCAAGTTCTTTCACTTGCTTCTCAAGCTCGGCGATCTGGGAACTAATTTCGTGGCGAGTGACGGAGCAATGTCGGCCACCTCGTTCTGCATGGCCATTATAACGCTTATATGCTCTTTCGTGGATTTCTCCATCGACGCTTGGATGTCTCTGTTGGCACTCCCTAATGCCTTCATCTTCCTATCTGCTGTCTTCAACTAACAAAGCGCTAACGTAATATCTACGGCACTTTGAGCGAGTTATGGTATGGAACACCACTAAGGTGTGGTATCACCCACTTGATTCGACAGATCCTTCCGCGATGCTTGCAGCTGATCCCTTTCCGACTCCAACTGTCTTATCTTCAGCTCCAATGACTGCAGCAATCACTCTGCTTTTCCTCAAGACTCACTCCCCTTGCCTACTGATTTCGCACGCTGAAGATCTCTCAATTTCGTATTTTTCGCCTGCAACTCCGACAGCTGCGTTTCACTTCTACTCTGCAACTCCTCGATAACTGCAGAACTGACAAGAGGGTGCCATCAAAGAGTTTCCTCCGACCGGTCCAACCCCACTGCGTAAGATCATCCCTGGTAGATCCGTCCACTTGCATCTCAGCATGAACAGCCAGCTTCTGCTCAGTTTGAACACTACAAGTTGCGGACACACCTGCTGACAGGAAACACATCCTCTCTTCGCATCTCTTTAGGACTTGATCTATATAATGCGAAAATTCTGAGAATTTTCCTGGGGGAATTCTTATTGGTTTCTGTACACTACTATTCGGATTCATAACTCTTCGAAAACTCTCGAGATCAACTGAGGAAAGCGAATAGATATACCCACTGTGTCTACCAGTAGGAGTCTGCGTCCCCATTGCTCGTCTAGAGACAACTCCAAGGAGAGTCTGCACAGCCATCGATACGGTGTTCAAAGTGGCCGTTTGAGCGCCACTATCCACGCCTGACCGAAGCCTCGCTGTTATTATTTCCAAGCACGACGGAGATGTACCCGAGACGCATTTCCTCAGATACTTCGCTCGAATGCGTCGCTTTTCCTGTCGAAAGGCCTCCTCCACCACAGAGGTGAGATCGTGGTAGAACTGATGATGAGCAAAATCAGAACTGAACAGTAGTAGGATGATGAGGTTGTACACTCCCCCTATAATTTTCACTATAACAGAGACAGATTTGCTAATATATCGCCTTGCAAACGTAAGGAGCTTCCCTACGGTGAAGTCTATGTAGTGCACTATATAGAAAATTCAGATGATATGCAGAAGTGATGTGTTACCCACCTTTTCCCGTCCCCTTTGGTGATGCCATTCCTCATCCTCACTGGTCACACTAGATGACCTTTCGATGTCCGCAGATTGCGGATCGCTTGACCCTGAGTTCAAGAGATAAAGGAGATCATTGCGCTACTCTTGATAACACTACCATTCTTCCCAGCTACGCCGTAGCCGCTACTATGCTGTAATTCATCGTTCTAAAAACGACCCCCCTGGGAATCGAACCCGGGACCTCCCCGACAAGCTCACCATCACAGGTGGATACATACGCATACTATGCTGCTGGTGCCACCACACAGGGCTGTAGTTTTGCAGCATTGGAGTAGCCGCCGTCGGATAGAATCCACTATTCACGCTGAACCACTTGCATGACTTGAACACTCTTGCATTTTCCTCACGTTCCAGCATGGACCCCAGGAGGAGGTGGTGGCAGCAACAGAGGGTGCTGCATGGGAGGAACGAACATCGCTGGTGGGAATCGAGGGGGAGGGAGCATCCCAGGCGGCGTGTGGTAAGTAGCCACCGGTGTGCCTGACGGTGACCATCTCAAACAAGGTTTGGTAACAATGGGGAAAATATTGCTAGTATTATGACATCTACTAGCCATGTGGGAAATTCAAAATGACCCCCCTCGGGAATATTAGAGGTTCCTGGATGCTTCCCTGATATCAAGGGTGCACAGAAGGACGTCCATGGGCAGTGCGAGAAGATATGCACATGGTCAACTACATGTGTCGGTGACAATATGAAAATTTTGGGAAATTTTCTGCGCATTTCTACCCGGGTTCGCATATACCGAACCTCGTATGAACATATATTCCTCCAACACTACACGAGGAGTATGCCCGTAGTCAGGATCAGGTTGAATAGATAGTCCTCTTGTAGTTTCATCCTAGACATCTATTCGCGTGAATGACCAGTAAAGCGACAGAGAAATCCTCATAAGAGAGGCCACAAGCCATCAGGAATGGCATCGTATAAAGCGTCTCTCCCCACGTGTAAGCAAGCCTATAATGACTATCTTATAGGTGGCTATGCATGTTTAGCACCACACGTTGAGTTGTGAGCGCTACAGTGCTACGGTGGTGGTACGAAATAAGCAAGCCCTACCATTTTCGGTGTTCGGGAAGGCTTCCTCCTCCTCCTCCTCGTCGGCGTCGAGACCTCCCATCTGTCCATCACTTCTATAACCCATCCACTGCTGCTGCTGCTGATGATGATGTCCAGTCTGCTGAAGGTAGATATCTAGAATCTTCGCTGTGCGCATGTCCTACCTCCGTATCGAACTGGGGTGCTTGAGCAGCAAGATCACCTGAATGATCCCAGGTTGAGAGCAGCAGAGGAGCAGAGCTCACCTGAGTAGTATTCGTCTTGGTGTTGCCAGCTTTGATCGATTCCAAACGAAGGCTCCTCTTCCCCTGGTGATGCGCACGTAGACGGAACGTGTGGAGGTATAGAGTTCAATCGCCGAGCATATTCTGGGGCCTGCCCTAGAGAGGTGCTGTTGGAGATCGTTGGAGGGAGCATCGAATTTAGTGACGCGTCTGGAAACCAAAACCATGATGAGACTCAGGGCGCAGCACACCACATCACCAGCATCATCGACCGTCCGTGCATGAGGCGAGTAATCATAATGTACAGCGTCCTTCGTAGCGTCGTGGGTAACCGCATGGCATGTCATAGGAAAGGATGCCGGTTCTATTCCTTGGAGATCGTTTTGTTGCGACCAGTGATGTGAGGAACTGTGCCCCCGGTCATTGGTCATAGGAAGGAGTATATGCTGCAGTAGGACCCATCGTAGCAAGCACAACCACCACTCGAGATGAACTCTTTTCCACGTCTGCTCTTGAGCTTAATCGTGTGAAACAGCTCGTAGGAAGCTGTTGCACTAATAAAAACTAGTAAAACTATGCACATGTTCAACTGCATATGTCGGTGACAATATAGAAATTTTTATGATGGATTTACCAACACGGTAGACAAGGAGTCAGGAAAGAACGAACTAACAAGTGCTAGACTCATACCCCCGACAATGATAACGACTTCCACTTGTACATGCGTGCAAAGTTATGGAGCCGCGCGTGTCGTTGATAAGTATTCATAGTTGACTTGATTTCTTCCTCTCTTGCTCTTCTTGGTATAGTCTATAGCTGACACCATAACAGACTTTATGGCTGTACAACAGTTCTTTGAGCTGTATATACTCTATCGTCAACAGCAGCTCATCTGAATCTTGCGTTCCCCTAGTCATTCAAGAGAACATCTGCATTGCAGCACACGCACGCATGCGATGTACTCAAGTACACACAATAGAGCATGCAGATTAACAATGTGTGAGGAATTTCGGGGAAATTAATGTTGATTTCTGAGACCCATTTCTACCCGAATTTGTATATAAGCCTCTTTAATAAGGGAGGAAACACCTGAACTAAGCTGAGGAAAGCGAACACATATTCCTCCAACACTAGGGTAGGCGACACGCCAGCTGCTATTGCCTCCAAAATCACATTGTGTGCTGGCGGAGCGAAGCGAACGAATGATAATCCATCATCACAGTCCACCGTTATTCTCCCAGTGGACGATAGCTAGCAAAAAGGGCGGCATGTGAGCATTCCCCTGGTCGCGACGGAAGCATCGTATTGAGCGGCAGGCCAGGTGTGTTCACACTGGAAAAGGGGGGGAAGTTGAATGTCCCAATTTCACGAGTACGAAAGGAAAGATTCAGATTGCCTGAATACAACTAGGAAACTTGAGTGACATAGTTCGAAAACGCGCCACAAGTCTATAGAGTGGGGAAAAACTTCCAGTTAAGGACGTTTTCGCCCGTGTAAAAACGCCCAGACCTTTTCTCACGGCCCATTTTGGGTGACGTTAGTACTTTTTCAACACATTCCGGAGAATGACCAGCTCGACGAATGACCTTATACTTGGTAGTGAGGGCTGTGGTTGTTGCAGCAGTACGGAAGTCTACGTTGCGATTTGTCCACCGGACTGGGGAATTTTCTCTTCACCAGTGAATCAGCAGTAGCCCACCTACTTGAACAGCTTCTGCGACGAATCAGGGCAATATCGTGAAGGAATTCGAATGGGGGCTGTGGATAGAGCGTGTGCGGGTTCGGAAGATACATTGGCGATAGAGAGATAGTATTCGTCCGACCCGTTTGGTCCAGTTCTGTTTGAGCTCGCTGGAGAATTCTCGCCTCTTCGTGATACTGTGTGGTTGAGCATTCCAGTTGTGTCGATTTCGTTCCTAGAGCTTCGGAATAGTAACTGATTTTCCTGTTTGTAATCATCGGTCGCAAGTATAACCGGTGTTTCTTGACGTTTTCGCACAGGTTTAAACGCCCCGGTCTCTGCAGCGGCGCTTTGTTCTTACTTCGACACTTTCGGAGATATTGAAGCGGTTGATCTCTCGGGAATGTTCGGTTCGGATTTATCGAGCGAAAGTACCGCGCGCATCACGTGAGTTGGGGGAAGAAGGTGCTGCGATTTGAACCTGGGTTGTCAGCTAGAGAGCAGCAGCTCATACCATTAGAGCATTTATTCTTAGGTATTTTGACAGTCGGGCTCCGCTCTTGGCCGTGGACCGCCTAAAGGATGTTACCAGCCTCAGTCCAAAGGTAGATGTTTCCACTCTCTCATCAGTGCCCCTTACCCCGACCAGGTGGTCGCAGTGGACCCCAATGGCACTGGCGAGCCCGTGAGCATCAGCATCTCCCACATCTCCCTCCAAGAGAGAGCTCACTCTAACGTGGGTGCATCTGGGGAAGTTGATGTCGGCAATTTACGATGGAAAGTTGGTGAAACGCTGAGTTGCTGCGAGAAATTCGGCGATATGTAAGCACGCATAATTTCGCCCTTTTCATGTTTCATGAAAATAACGCATTTTAGAGAGCTTATCAACGGCCAGCTCACATCGGAGCCTACCCTTCACTCCGACACTTTGGCAACAACTGTCACCTTCTACGACACCCGAGTTGCGAATAAATTCCGAAGGGTGAGCTCGAGGGAAATAATCTCCGCATACATGTCGTTTGGAGGTACTGCGGTCAGTACAAGGTGTGGGTCGAACCACCGAAAAAACTCCGGCAGAGGCCACCACGGTACGTTGGGGTGAAATGCCCGGGCCCTTATTTGAACCTGGTTCTCTCGATGGCGAACTGCTTTGTTTTCAGCATAGGAGGGCAACCGTACCCATCGCTACTTCAGAGCAGTTGAATGAGCCTTCAGGTAGTGAGTACTCAGCCGCATCTATATTTCGCCTATTGATCACTCAGAAGGCGGTGAGCACCGTTGCCCAGACCAAGAGGCTCCCCCTCTACCACAAGACCCTCTACGGCTGCCATCAGTGACTGTCAGCACAACTCTCAGCGCTCAACAGCATTTGGAAAATGTTTTCCGCGAATATGATGAATTCGTGTACAGCCTCAGCAACGATGAAGATTTCCCTGACCACTCGGGCACCCCTAGGGAGGCTACAGCCGTTGGCGCTGCTAATCCCGCTGAGACTTTAGCGGCATTTATTGGCCGTTGTAATGAGTCGGGCGAGACCTTGGAGAAATTCAAGACAACGCTTGGCGAGGGAGAAATGGTCATGTGCGATTCGATAAAGGAGTGGGGGAAGCACTTCATACCACACCAGACGCAAATCACCGCCAATAACGGAGTGATTAGCGGAGTGGACAAGGTTGGACCTCCCTCAATTTCGGTCGAGTCAGTAAGGAGTGACTCTTAACGCACGCGGAAGATTTTTAGTGTTGTGTAAAGATCTTCGTGGAGACGCGCATTGAGGAGGAAGCTCATGCGGCTGCTTCGACACTCGTTTCCCTTTCGGTGATTTCATTCATTGTAGGGATTTTTCAGCATTCAGCCTTTATGTTTCAACATTGCTGGAACCCAGTTTATTTTCATTCGTGTGCTATTATTGAGTTTCCGGGGGGGGGTGGATTCGAACCCGGGTCTGTTCGAACTCTACGGCATGTATCGACGGGCGGGATCAACAGACAGTGTTGCCCGTCCTGGGTTGAATCGAGTTACCCAACCTCAATTGCATGTATCAGCAATTACCAATTGTTCATCGTACTCGTACTTCATCTCTCGCTACTGCAAGTTGCCACTCTCGGAAGCGTTAACTCTGCCGAACCGATGACAACAGAAGTGAAAGCAAAGGCCCCCCTACTGCGGTGAGAACGACTGTGTGCTCATCTGCAAACTCGTTACTCTGGCTTTTCATCCAGCTTGACATGTTCTATTCCGAATAGAACGTTATTAACGTCATTGAACAGACTATTCAATGATGTTATGCATAGTCTATCTTGTACCCATAATAAAGTGATGGCAACCTGAAGTAGTACGCTATAAGAGCAACCGATACTTCGAGGGTATATTTAAGCTAGTGATGAAAGCAAAAATTGATAATAAATGAAAAAAAAATGATACGGAAATGTGATACTGATCCCAAGAGTCACCCGTTGAGCCTCCCTACACCACAGTTGTCATTCGCTTATAACACTGCCCAGAGCGTCACTATTTTGGACGAATGGACTGAGTATAACAATAGAACAGCTTCCTGCTAGCCTTGGCGGAGATTACTCGAATTTTGGTGACAGAATGGGTCGCCGAATTTCGCATTCGATCAGTAATCACTGCGATATATTAGATCGTTGTCAGACATTTCCTCCATCGAGCGCCGCCTCATCCAGACGACGCCTCGTTCGACCCACGATCGGGTCTGCCTACTATTACCGCTCCTGGGGGAACTTCCTAGTAGGGTACGAGCTAAGCTGCTCGGTTACGCGTTCCATTAGGAGCCGACAAGCTACTACAGGAAAGACTGACCTAAATAAGGACGATGTATTCATGACTCGACAAATATCAGAGTCGAGAAGTGTTCGTGATCGTCAGTTCCTTCACGCTCCCTCGGAAATATCCGATTGGCCCGAATTGAAGGGGAAACGGGAAGACATCGATGCTGATGCAGAGCGGTTGAATGCTACGGGCACAGAGTTTTTAAAGTTCGTATGCAGTGTGGGAAAATATGCGCATGGTCAACTACGTGTGTCGGTGACAATACGAAAACTTTTGAGGACGTTTCGGCAAATTCTTATTGGTTCCTGAACACTTCTTCCCGAATTCGTAAATAAACTCCTATAATTAGTGAGAAAGTAAACATATACTTCAGTATTGTGGGTACTGCACCGAGGTTCAGTTTGTGAACCTTGCACTCGACACGAGGATTTCTTCCGTGGAGACACTGACACAATGTTGCAGCTTTTTGTTTTGTTGCCAGGGACTCTCGAGAGGTCGCATGGGCCCTCCGGCACGCCGAGATAGACAATGATCGCAAACAGATTAGCAACATCGTAAACCGCGGAATGTACAGAGATACCGAGACGACTGAGATGTGAGCAATTTCTTCATGACGATGATAGGGATATTTCCTCTACGTTATCAGCCCGTCACAGAAATGATATTTGCATGCTCATTGTTGTCAATAACCACACCGTTCCGTGTCGCGTTGTGAGTCGTTTGCCATTTGTACATTGAATGTACTACATTCGCCAGTCACGTGTTAATTGACACCAGTTGATGCGATGCAGTAAGTGAGTGAGGGCTTCGTTTTGAAGCTGAGTGGATTGATTCCACTGAAATCACTATCGTGCTCTGAGTGGCTCTTCCTATGGAAAATGTCTGGCTGTAGGATTTGACTTCCAACTTGTTAGAGATGTGAACGTCTCATAATGCCACTCTTACTAGGAGTTTAATCGTTCCGCACCGAGGAGTCCTCTGAATCTTTCATTCTCCACTTAGAGCTCGTCGCCGAAGCTTAGCGGCCAAAGTCAGTTCCTTGTTCGGAAATGGGATGCACTCATGATGAACTCAAGAAGCTCCAATGTGTAAGATTAATCGTAATCCGCGGACAGCGCGCTCGCTTGCCTAATAAAAAATCTCTCGATGAAACGAATGTTTCGCCGAGTAGCATTCTTCTGAATATCATATGTGGAATCATGCTATTAAAATTGTGAATCCAGTCGAAACTCTTCTCACGGGAGCGGTCGTAGACTAACCAACGATGATGAAGGCCATGCTGCGGTAGACCGTGGATTCTGAAGACCACGAAATAACGTAATTGTTTATAGAGATCGTGGTTTCAACTTGCCGATTCCGACTCGTTTAAGAGTAGGGTCGAACTCAAAATAATTACCAATCAGCATACGATCGGGGAAACTCCAATCATTCTTCAAATTTTGAAAGATGAGGAGTTCACAGATACCATGTTGGTTCAAGGCATAGTTCGTGTATGTCATCGTGAATGGAGTTGTGCCCTGAGGACCCAAATAAAACCTCAACGGTGGCAACTTGCTCATGTACTGGCAAGGGAAATACCGGTGCTCGTTCACTGGGTAGAAGGGGACATGCTTACCCGCAGCGTTATCAGCTTGAGCTCCAATCTCCTTGATGAGACTTTTAAAGTATAATGTTGGGACGTATAGAAAGTTGGCGCCGGTGTCGAGATCTAGGTTCATGTTGATTCCAAGAGTTATATGTCCATCACCGACTTGTAGCTTGTCAATATTGACCATATAATGTTTGTCCGTAGAGAAGTCGACATACCTCAAGGCACCCTCATATAATGCAGGATCGCCTCCACCCAGGAGTAGGCCTCCATCAGCGGATGCCTTGTTAGGATCAGCAGGAGGATACAAGTAGAGAGCAATGATCCCGCTCGTTACAGTTTTTGATGATCGCAACTGCGTCATCAGAGACGGGAAGTTCACATCACCTCCATCATAGCCAAGACCCATCAAGTTAGTCGGAGGAGCTTTACTGACGGGAGGTTTCTGATCGAATATCAGCCCGAAAGTGAGGATCTCCGACACCTGACCCATGGTTAGTTTCGATTTGTGCTGAAAAATTTTCACCATGTATTTGTCCTCGAAAGTGAGAGTTCTCGTCACTTTACCCACAAGGCAAGGCTCCGAGCATGCGTAACACCCCATGGGACAAATACTGCAGGGGTGTCCACTGGCCCACTCGTACCAATCCTTCCAGATGAAGAAAGAGAAACTCGTTCCAGTGTCAACAAGAGCATGTAGCTCCTTGCCATTCTCGTCGACCAGAGTATGATACAATCCAAAGTGCCCTTTGGGAATATCTTGGTACTTCACATCGAGCTTGAGAGTTTCTCCTCGGGAGACGTTCAACACGTCAAATACATTGATCAAGGAGAGCAGTCGCACAGACATAGGAGAATGCATTCCGGTCAATATTTTTGATCTCAACGTAGCCGATTTATCGCACAACTTGGGCGAATGCTGATGCTTCTTTGCTTTTGTGCGGCACGCATGCGAATCAGCTAGCTTGCGCCAGTTGTGCTTGCGTATCTGCGTATCCATTTGTCTTGAGTACGTGCAATATTACTACTCTCTCTATTTGTCTTGCCTACTTCACTACACTCTCTGTTTGCTGCTGTCTTAGTACGTACTTCCCTTCCAACCATGTCTGGAGTTGCTAGTAGAACCCGAACTAAGCGGGCTCGCACCTTGTCGCCTCCTCCTTCCGCCCCCAGCGGCAATCAAACCAAGGGCGACCAACATTGGCGCACACTCCCCAATGTGATGTTGTTTGTGCTATCGCAGGAAGACAAGCGCCAGACCAACGTATCTTCGTTGAAACCGCCACAAGATACTCGGCATGAGAGACTAATTAGATAACTATATACTTTTCTGCTCATTCATCTTATGACTCTCGAGTCAACCAGTGCTCCGACCGAAGCTCAATACAGATGTGGACTTTCACGTCACGTGAAGGCAGGACACCTGAATCACGTGTCCTGCCTTCGCGTTCCACGTGTGTGTATTGTGCTCCTGGATCGCCCGCATAATCCTTCTCCGGGCATCCGTCTCACGTGACCTCCGGGACGGTCTATCTTCTGTTCCGGTGAGGAACAGAGTGCCACTCTGAGAGTGGATCTCGTTTGCCTTTAATCTGTAGCTAATTCCTTGCTCATTGTGGGAGTACGGGAATAACTTCCGAGTCTTTGTACTACGGACTATCAAGTCTTGTGTAATTTTGCCGAGCTCCTTCTACCTTCCAGCGTTTCCTGCTGAGTTTCCTGCTTAGGAAAAGCGTAGCTTCTCCGCGGTTGGAACCGTGCCAGCGAGTTGTCTTTCGGCGAAGCCTGATTTGGGACAGCGATTGACACAATCGCTGCTGGCACAAGGGTAGCCTGAGTCCTTCAAGATGCCAAGCTAGTCAGACAAGCCCGACTGTCTTGACAACCCGGAGTAGTATATGTGTCAAGCGTATATATTTTTTTAACCGAGGTCTCCAATGTAGGTCCTTGGACCACTCCAGGTAGCAAGCTTCAGTGGTTTACGATAGAAGCTTACTATTCTGAATGTCCTTACTAAGGACTCCTTAGTGTACCTTGCGTGTCATCCTCCGCAGATGGCACTCGTGAGTCGAAACACGCCCTGCGGCAGGACCCCTGCCACAACTCGGAGATTAGATGTTTCATTAAAGTAACGCCCTAACCACTAGGCGATATCGATGAAGATTCAGAACACACACAACTTGTGTGACACAAGTCATGAGTGCATACTCCTACTTTAAAGCCTAGTGGAGAGTAGTGGAAACATGATGACACACTTTGCCATTGTGCCACTAGCTCGTTTATGCCAGAACACATAATAGATTGCCAATAGGCTCGAGACCGGTATCCGGAGCCGATCCCGGCAGTGATTGGGACAGTTGTTCCGTGGCGTTGAGCGAAGCAGTTTTCCTTTGTGTTGCACGCATACACAAAGGATTTTTGTTCCCTAGCGTTTCGCTAGGAACATTGCCATCATTACTCACTAATAATATATACAACTTGTATTTCCTTAATTTCCTCTCAATTTATGTCCTCCAGTAATGTTCAGTCTGTGTTGCGTTCAACTGGTGCCCAGACTCCAGTCGATCGTCTGAACATGACTCTTTCCGATATCATCCGTATGGATGGTATTCAAGAACTCTCGGACGTGTCTGAGGAGATTCGTCCTGACGGAGAGTTGGAAAACGCTGATCCAATTCCCAGGACAGATGAAGAAGCTCCCGGGGTAGACCAGGGCAGGAACAGCCCACTCAAGAAGGCAATTTTGGTGTGAATCTTGATGGAGGAAATCGAGACTTGAACTCGTTCCCCAAGATACCACAAACCTTTGATGACCAGCCAAAGTCAACCCTTAGGAGTGATCGACGGTAAGGCCAACGGATGTCTGAACTCCGTAAGAATGTAGTTAAATTCTCTGGTACTCCAAAAGAAGATGTTGAAGAGTGGCTTGATAAGCTTGACATGATTGCAGGGCCAGACGGGTTTAATCTCAACTATCATGATCAAGCTTTGCTTTTGCGCCTATCCGTTTCGGGTGACGCATACCAAGCTGTTCTTATGGTCCGGCCTGGTGATCCTAAGACAGATCCACAACAGAAAGGTTATTTGGCCCGTGTTCGCTCCGAACTACGAAAAAGGTTTGGCAAAAGTCATGATCGAGCGATCAACAACTTGTGTGATATTAGCTTCACCAACTATGACACTGTTGACGAGTATGCTACTGCTATTAATCGACTGGTGAGGCAAACATGTCCCAATACTCATCGGGAATGTCAGGGCGAATGGAAGAAGATATTCTTCTATCGCGGATTGCCTCATAACTTCCCAGCAAGTGCTTCGATCAAACCGTTCTGCCTTGACCCGACTTTAACATTCGAGCAGGTTCTGGAAAAGGCCAGACTGTATTTTGACAGCAACGCGGAAGCACGTGTTGCTGCTCCGGGTGTCCGTCGGAGTATTGGCAAGGGCGGTAAAGGACGAGGCAAGGGAAAAGGGAGAAGAAGCAACCACTTTTTCAAGCAAGCTGACTTGAATTTATCAATATGAATATCCTCTCAATTTATGCTCTCCAATAATGTTCAGTCTGTGTTGCGTTCAACTAGCCTTGATCAGTGCTGGTCACTTCTACACTAATGATGTTCTGACGTCAGAACAGGATCATCCTCGTACTTCCAGTAATACTGGGAGTACGAGGATACTATCCTGGAGAATCTTCTCACGACTTCCGTCAGACAAATGTGATTAACTTGTAGTCGATTGTATTCAGAAGTCGATCGTCATGTCTGATGGATAGTCGTTAGACTACCTACATAATCGTTGTGATTGTTATCAAATGCCCATTGCGGCTTTACCAATGAGCATCAGCAATGTCAAAGATCAACCGAAGTCACAGTGGAGTTAAAATTGCACGTGCGATTGGAACCATAAGACATGAGTGAGCCTCAGTGAGACCAGCAGGTTGCTTTTCTGTTTGAATCATGAACCACATTGCAAACGGATCTACCAGCAATTCATAGAGAGAACAACCTCTCGGGAGCTTCCAAACGATGGCAACTGCGGCCGCGCTCCTCGGGTATGGAGGGCAGGAGAGAGCATGTTCCGGCAAGGATATTTAGCCGAGTGAATACGGCAAAACGCAATGACCAGTGACGTCACTAGTTCGGAGTCACGAGCTCCGATTCAGATGATGTGCTCGAAGACATTTAAAGAAACCCAAAAACCAACCGGACCGTCGTACTTCCTTGAATGAAGAATCCGCGCAAGTCGATTCAACCCGGTCAAACCGTGGCCAAACAGTCATCACCGTCACCTATTGCATGTGGACAGTGTCCACTGGACACCAGGGATTCTAGTTCGATCCCGCCACCCGGCATTATTCAAACTCGGAATAGATCATTGAACAAGTCGTCTACACAGTATCACAGCCCAATGAAACATGCTATCCAAGGACCCCCGCCCTCCCATGGCGACTCGCCGTGCCTGGGTACGTAAGCAGAGAAAACTCCTTAAGGCAACAGTTTCGCACCAGGGCGTCGTGTGCTGCTCTGTGGTCGACATGCGGACCGATTAGCCGAACGGGGACGTCCACTGGTCATCTCGGCATATCTGATGAGTAGTAGAGCTCAGACGTTCATTCGCTATCGCAAACTCACGAAAAGTAGACGCTAGTGTTAGGAACGTAGTCATTCTCGTCGAGACCTGGCCACAAACCACGAGCAAATACTCATTGTTATTCGTCCCTACCACTTTGTATGGCGCTGAGCACCTCATTATTCATCGCTTGCGAAGGGTCCACTTCGCCAGCTCGAGTGAGTCGCTCAGTAGGCAACAGATCAGTCTGCAATATACCATCGCTGCGGAATCTAAGCGACAACGGCACAGGATGAGTAACGGAACTGTAACATTCACCTTGGGTCCGCTGAATGCTGCCGTGCAACCCGGGAAAACTCTGTCGTTGGGCGTTCAAGGCCAAGGGCCGATCCAGGACGTCTAGCTTGAGCATTCCCAGCTAGTCCAATATGGCTGATCTCCCATGCATCCTCTACTTGGTCGTACTGTGCGCGGTCGGCTATTCTCTGGTACCTGAGGGGGACATCACTCGGGCAACCTGCGACGATCGGATCTGTTCGTCGCGACACTGTTGAGGAGACTCACTCCTCAGGAGGTATGAAGTAGTCGATCACAAGAGACTTCAGCTTGAGCTCTTTGCTCAAGGCTCGGATGGATTCCAGCATATCTTCTCTTTCTCGTTGGAATTCTCTGAAGTAAACATTAGTCGTAGAATCCACTACTGAGTCTACCAAAAGCCTTTTGGCAAAAAGCCTTACCTCTGCAAGTCATCAACCTCCGCACTGGCGTTCTTGTACTTATGCCAGAGTTTCTCAAGCTGGAGACAAGACATCACATATCATCAAGTCATTATTGTCAACGCATGAAACCGCATACGTCACAATAAAACATACGTCCTACTTTGCTCGTCAGTTTGACAACTTGGCCACCCTTGGCTTCGTACTTCTCAGCTAGAAGGAGACGTTCCTCTTCCTGCTCTTTAACCTAGAGCGCACAATACCACAGGAGCGAGTACTCTCGGAGAGCGATCTTCAGGACGCCGAACCTTGGCTCGTATTCGCTCCTCCTCTTCTTTCTTCTTTTGTAGAGCCCTCTTCGCCTTTTTCAATTCCTTTTCCTGGACTGCAGCCTGCTGGATTACCTGAATCCAGTCTGAAACTGTTGGATATCACAAGAGCTCTCTAGAGCTCAGTTCACCAATCGGGCGATTGCGAGTCGCCATGGGCGAGTAGTGCCTCGTTGAGGTACTGCGAAATTTGTGTCGAAGGAGGGCGAGGCTAAAGCCAGTCAGGCATTGTAACTCTCCTGTATACAGTAGAGAAACCAAAAGCGTCACGTAAAAAAAGAGGAAACTTGTCCGGTGCTCGTTTGCACTTCAAGCCTCGACTCGGCACAAGGCTAGAGGATGCTTCACGATGGTCAACAACGACATCAAACAGTTTGATTCAAATGCCATTTTAAATTGACGAGCGGCAACGCCTTAGGAATAGTCCGCAGCGGAGCCATTCACCAAAGGGAGAGGCGGAAATTAGTTTACCCGGAAGAATATACATCCCAGTTTACTGAAGGACAGAGTGAAGAGTCGTCTGCGTAGGCTACGACCGCGTGTTTCTATGCAGGCCGTGACTCTCGCGATGATACCCTATAGAGCTTCCGAAAGCGTGTCAGTAGTGATTACGAAGAGTAGAGGGCCCAGAATTGTGCCCTGAGGGAAGCCTTGCTCCTGGCCGCTCGGCGCCGGTCTGTGCCTTGCAGAGCTGCAATTCATTGTTAGTCGGCCTTCACTGTAAGAAAATAGCGTCACCTAGATTTGACCCGAGACCTTTCGAGTGACAATCTGACGCCATAACCATCTGAGATATTTGAACGGCGTAGATGTGTGATAGCGGCACCAAATTTTCTACTGCCTAATATTCTTCTATACGTGAAGTAAAACTCCAACTGTGCTATCTGATTTTGGAGTACTCGGCCGAGAACTCAGTATACAAGGGCCATCCACCGCCTTGATGAACGTAACTCCATACGCCTCTCCTCAGTAGCAGCCATCACCTTCACGACGAGCAACTGGCCGTCGTTGAGATTAATGTTCACAAAGTAAAAGGAGATATTCTTCTCCGGAATAAACCTGTGAGGCTGCCCGGCTTCACTGCAAACGCGTCATCAGAAGCCTCGGCTCAAGGTGACCCGTTGCATAACCTGTTCGAACTTTACATCTTGCGACTCGATTCAAGTTACTAAAACATACCGTCACCCACGATTGTGACAGATGTTGGGCGCCTATCGATATGACATCGACATGACCAACTCATGACCGATTATGAGTTATTCATGTCGCGAACCTCATGAAATAGGCTGTATGCAGATAAATACATGCGAATAGGTGTACAGCAGGTGGACTCGTCAGCTCCACACAGCGTGCAGCTTGGTCTAACTTGCCACTACGAGGGTTCAAAGATAACTGCTTTGCAAACGACGATATCCTGGATAGTATCCTCGATGCCGAGGAAGAAGTGCACTAAATGTACACATGTTTTCCAATCCACTGCCCTGTGCGGCGCTTGCATTTGAACATTACGTGATGCATACTATGCATTGTACGAGAAGAGAAGGAACGATGCTAAGGTGAGGTTCAAGCTACAACCAACTGTTGATATATTAATCGGTATTTTTCCGCGGGTTATAAGTTCTTGCGTCCTTCAGGATAGAGCAGATTCTCTCTTACAACCTACTTTAGTCCCCATGAGCATTTTATCCTCCATCTGCTTCAACTTATCCAGCAACTGCACTTGCTGTTCCCGCTGCTTCTCGCCTTGCTCCTAGAAATAATACAATCCCGAGTTCCTAATTCCCAGAGTTCAACACTCGCTATTAGCGAGTCGCTAATGCAACAGCGGTGATATAAGGCATTCAGAATTTTGGTGGTGCGATCACATCAAAGGCTTTGATTCAAAGCCAGAATATCGCACAATTAGAGCCTATGCTCACCTCTTTCCGTTGAAGCTCTGACAAGAGGCTCTGCCTTTCCTGCTCCGTTTTGGACTTCTCCGCCAGGATTTTCTGCCGCTCCCTATGCATCGAGCCCATCCATAACGAGGAGGGTGATGACAGCCACTCACGCTTCAAATTTCTTATGAACCTCCTGCTGATCTTTAGCCATCTTATCCTTGATCTGTTCGATCTCTTCTTCGCTCGGCCCATGGACATGCACAATCTACACGCAGAATCTCTCATGGAGAACAAAAAGAATCAAGTCATCCTCACTTTCTCAACGATCTTCTCCACAGTAACTTCACGAGGGGCACCACCGACGCCTTCCGCCACCATACCGGTCTGCACTGCCAATTGAGACTTCAATCGGGCTGTGTAAAACACACCATAAAAAGCTCCTGTAAAGCGCTGTCGCACACGAGTCATCAACGAAGAGATGATGCGATAATGTGGGAACAATGAATCATTTCAGGAGCTCCTCGCCCATCATATGAGAGTCGGACTCAACAACTTACAAATCTCCTCCTGGAACTCGCGTATCATGGCATCTTTAGGATCTTCATTGATACGCGGTTTATTCTTGATCGACTTCGCTCTATGAGCATATCTATTGCGATCGATCCCGTCACAAATTTCCACCTCTATGAAATATCACCGCAGAGTTGAGAGTGTTTCATCGTAGTTGTAGTCAGCTGGACCTATATTCGCGACCATCACCGTTTTTGTATTGCCGCCTAGAGAATCCTACGGAAAAAATATCCAACAAGACTAACTCCTGTGCGTTCTCACTTGCAGCAGTCGTGTAAGCTTAGAGTCCCTGTATGGTACGAATGTTGACCGACTGTCAACGAGTGCCGATATCACGTTTCCGAGGGCCGATAGCGATAGGTTTATTTTTGTAGCCTCCTTCAGCGTGTCACCTGAGCACCAAATAGTCGTGATATTGGATCCGATATCAAACACTCTCTGCATCTGAGCAGAGAGTTTCAAGTTCGGCCACCCTAACTTCTCCTGCTCAGCCTCACCAGTAGATCCGGTCTTCGACTGCCTCTCAGAGCCAGCAAGATCAACCATATTCAACTTGCCCACTCTGACAATAACAAGGACACCAGTGCAACGGCGCTTCCGCCGCTGCTCACCGTATATGCCCTTGACCATCAGATCTCATCTCCGCGGTCTCCACAGTGATCGTGAAGATAGAATGTGATCGGCTCGACTCGACGTTCATCAAAGTAGCGCCCACCGACCTGTTGCGTTGCCCAGCAGCCATCACCTACAACGTCATCTACGCAGTGAGAATCTCACTGTTATTACTTGCCGCATTTCGTCTACGCCCTTGACCACGAAGGCCTGCAGGTCTTTCACGTATACACCAGTATCCTATCAAACGACACACTGTGGTTTCTCGAACAGCAACATCTTCCCACAGGATTGTCTTTGAGCTCCAATTTCTCCTTCGGGTTCTTCGACAGGAGATCTCGAATCTCCTCATTGTAAATCTCCAGGAAGCTCGCCCGAACCAGGTAGCTTCCACGGCCACTATCGCACAGATTTTCACGATTTTCACTTACGAAATATCCTGTCCGCCGCTCTCATCGATGCTCTTGAAAAGATGCTCAAATGCTCGCGGAATGATGCCGTGTTCATTGTCTCACAAACGAGCAACATCAGCTTCAACTACTTGTCCCGAGGCTCACTTTTCTTCCCTCCAGACGGTCCCACCATCGTATGCGTCTTCCCAGTGCCCGTCTGACCATAAGCAAAGATAGTCCCTACAGCTATCGTTCTCATCCAGTCACACAGCTTGAGCCGTTCACCATTGTATCCCTCAAGAACGTTCTCTACTATTGGGTAAGCAGCCTCCTCGTAGATCTGGCTCTGACTCGCCACAGGGGGTACACCGCATCAAAGGTGAACTCTTTAGCTGTATCTCGACTCTCACTCTGGCCCTGACAACTGCTCTCCAAGCAGCGCTTCCTACTGGAGCTTACCGCCGCCGACGGCTTGTAAACAGTGACCAGATGATATGCTGAGTCCATCTCGACAGTTTGTTTTCGCCCATCAACCACCTCTTGCTCGGACATCGGCCGACATCTGATCACCTAAGAGCCACTAAGCATGAGGCCATGCTTCAAAGTGCGACCTACAACTCTGACACACTCCGTGTTTTTCGACGCAGTCGTCGTATCCTTAGCACAACTCGATGCCATGCACAGAAGCTTGCAACAACGCACAGTCTCCCTCACAGATTGACACACTAAACGCTCAATCCCAGTAGATGCTTCCGCACCAGAGACACGCAGTATTGCATGTGGGAACAGACCCCATGGGAAATCATCAGCACGATAAGCTGCAATTACACCGGCATACGTGATCCAGTTCCCGATACTGAAAGCCGTTCACAAGCTCCTCAATATCCCCTCCATCCCCTCGCCGTATGGACTGCACCAACCGATGGCTCTTTGGGAGGCGGGGGGATATCAACGGGCACCGGAGATGGCAAATGTGCAAGGAAACGACCGACAGCCTCAACCGAGGCCTCCCCATTGTAGACATATCGGTCCCGACCGCGAAGGACTCGGAGTTGTGGCAGATCGAAAATGTCCAAGTCCAGCCACATGACTAGCTTCTCACGAGTCTCACTAGTAGCCGTAGTAAGGTCCAAAACCGAGCATCGACATTCATATTCGGTCAACTTCCCCGCATTAATTTCTCTTGAAAACTCCAACCACATGTGGCGGGAATCTTCACATTCCCGTTGATAAGTGCTAACCACCACGATCAGCCAGAATTCATCACAGCTAAGTCCGCGCAGCAGACAAGACACAAGCACACTGTCCCCAACCACAGGAACATCCAACGAGTAATACCAGTCGCCTAGATTCATAAGGTGGGGGGCGTCGGGGTAATACCACTGTCGTTCAGCACTTCTGGCTCGGCGTATAGACCCTCTTACCGGGACTTTGTTCGTGTCCAATGCACCAGTACTAGCAGATCGAACCCGACTGTCACCACGCCTTCTACTATTGTAGGAGACCAGACAATCAGCTGTTAATTTTTCGACATATTTCGCAGCGGAGCGGAGCTTGACATATTTCTCCAATTTCACTGACTGCTCCTCCACTCCCTTTCGAGCTCGCTCCAGTGCTACACGCTGCGACTCTACCTCCTCCAAGGCAATCGCTGCACGTCGTGATAGCTCATCCGGTTCAGAGACGCTACACGGAGTCTCTACCATAGCCCCTAAAGATCCCTCCTTCTCCCTAGCCGCTCTCAGTCGACTTTCAATCTCAGTAATGTTACCTCTCACCAATTCACGACTTCTTTCCAAACCCGCGATGTCGTTTTCAATCTAATACCAAAACAAATAGGATTCAACAGCCACTCATTTTCCCCTACCTCTCCCTTCGAATTTCCTCGCAATTCCTGAAGGCTCTCATCGATCCTCTCTGCTCGCCTCCTCAGCCTCCCAATAGCCTCCTCATCACTGGTGATTCTCTGCTGTACCTGCCACCTCTAATAACATACTCCACTGGCTCCAACCAGCCGACACTCAGCAGCTCCTCTCGCTTCCTCTCAATCTCCTTTCGCTCCCGCATGAACTCTCTGGCCTTCCTCAACCGATCGTCATCGGGACTCACATTGTAGCTGTCGAAGTCGCGCTCGCCCTGAACAATACAGTCGAGGTAGTCGGGAGAACCAGGAGACGTCATGCGGCTCAAATCCAAACATTTCATGCTGGAATCATCTAATCTCGAAGACAGTGGAGGGGCCAAGCCTCGACACAAACTCACAATCACCTTAGAGAGTTCCCCCGCTATACGCAAGGCCTCATCCTTCAATTCCACCAGTTTCCTTTTCTCCATCGCCACCCTTTTCTCCGTCCATTCACCCATCCATTCCCTCCTACGTCCCTCCACGCTACCACACACCGGTTCCATCCGCCTTGCACCGACCTCATACACATCGAAAGTCTGCGAGCTCATCACCGCATACCGGCCGCCCCCCCTCCCCCTCGGCTCCTTCCGAGACTTCCTCTGCCGTCCCCCAGACCTCACAGCAGTCACCGCGGAGGCCTTGTTGTCCGGATGGATATCAAGATAGAACGATGTCACTCCCAGCTCCTGCACAGAGTACTTCATACTAGCCTGGAATATCCTCTGCGCCAAACCCCTCCCACAAGCGTCTCTCGTCAACCAATACTCGACTACTCCAACAACATCCTCGAGAAACGGACGACGATCGACCTCGGAAACTCCTAGGAATGTGCCCGACCCGTCGAACAGGCCCAAGTGGACGCCGTTTCCAGTGATATAGTCGTGATACCATCTGCTCAGCAACCACCGTGTCCCTTCAACACTGCGGCAGTCAGCAACCAACCCCGACAGGTACCTCCCTAGATGGATCGAATTGCATTGAATAGCGGTATGAACAACTTGTGCCAGCTCTGGAGTGGCCGGCATGACTCTAAGGACGAGACCCTCGCCCAGTGAGATCTCTCCTCGACGCCATTCAAATAGAGTAGACAAGGAGAGTTCATACTTATAAACATCGAGGAATAATTTCCCATCCTTCCGATGGATCTGAACCCACAACCTCTTGCATGCAAACACACCCTCTTCCCAACTCAGCAATAACCTCGCACTCTCCACCTGACCGTCCACCTGCCTCCGCAGCGTCCCCGACACCCACGGGCCGCGAACATTCTCCTCAATACCATCACCACTCCTCGCAATACGGTCAACAACAGTCTCCAAGGTCCACACCACGAACTCCCGATCTCGACAGGACACCTCCGCTCGGCAGACTTCCCCGACCCTCGTAGCCCCCCCAACACCCAGGATCACCCTCTCACACAATTCTTTCAACCAAAGCATATCACTTCCGAGCTTCTCCCCACTCCAACTCCATCGCGATGACGAAACCGGCACACCCTCCGTCCTGCCACTATAGAACGCTCTCATCCCTTCACTTGAATTTTCGCTTCCAATTGCATTTAACCCACGCGGAATAGGTAAAAAAGCATCAGAGCTCTTCCTTCTCCTCGTATTAACCTCAGGGGCATGTTCCGTCCTCACCCATCGCGTACTCTCAATCGGCCCTTCCCTCGACAAGACATACCACGTGAGCTCCCTGTCGGGCGAAGCCTCTTTCTCAGGGTAAGCAGTCCACTGAGCAATCGACACCCTCCCATCAGAATGACGTGTGAGACCCCCCAATAGAGGAGTTCCATTAAAATAAACTCTCTTCCCCTCGACCCTTATAGTAGCCCCGGAGGGCAGTGCGATCCAGTCGCCTTGCAACTGTTGTAACACTGGATGTAACCTGGGTAAATAAGACATACATGAAAACTATCAACCACCTCATACCGAACCCAGCTCAGGCGCATTATTGGGGGAATATATGTTCGCTCTCCTCAGCTAAGCTCAGGAGAGTTCCCTTGTTATTTATGACAGTTTGCACACGAATTTGTGTGGAAGTGTACAGAAATCACCAAGAAATTCCGAAAATTTCCTCAGAATTTTCCTACTTTCACCAACACGTAATTTACAAAATGCATACTCTAGCACACTGCCCATGCCCTGACCCTGAAAGAGTCTATCACCGTCTACAGTAGTCGCTAAAATAAGCAGTTCAGCTCAATATTTTGCCTGGATTTTCAACAATTTACCTTTTTCTGGGAAAAAAGTTTTTTTAACTTTTTTGAATAAACTACTTTTAATGAAATTGAAAGTATTCAAAATCGAACGGTTCGACTGTACGATGGTGGTTGGTTTCTCCCTCAGCCACTTTTAGAATAGGAATGTTCAATGGAGTTTCAGCCGTTCTACGTGAAGTGGCGTAATACTCTGTGAAATACGCGATATTCGCGATATTCAGTCGTCGTTGAATATATTTTTCACCAGCGTTTTTCATACCACGGGCGACCTTCAAAACCGCACCCACGATCAATTTTCACATGTAAAACCCGATCCTGGGATCGCTCTCGAAATCCAGACCAGATCTATTGAGAACCCCACGAGAATTTCCCCCACCAAAATAAAGTCAACCACAGTAACAGCAGTAGAGCACGAACACTCTGATGGATCTAATCTCAATACTCGACGCTCCGTGACCAACACAATACATTTCTGAGGTAATAAACACCAGTTGAGACGTGAATTATATTCACTATATAATACCAGCCATTTTCAAAGCAATAACAAGTGACACGATTCCACTTACAGTAGCCGTTACCATCCACACATAAAACATCACTTTCGCTCCTAACAACACTCCGAAATCCCAAATTCCATACCACACTTCGCCCACCTTTCATCAGACTCTCCCCCAGCGCCTTTGCTCGTCGACCAAAAGCCGTATTCCCCAGAGCGGAGCGATGCTCTCTCAAATGCGCATCTTCCGGATCAAGATAGGGATCCTTATTAGGCATGTCTCTCCCCGACCCTACCACAACAACAACACCAACAACCTTCACAGTGCCAGTATGGAAATATAGGTTTGGTTTCCTCAACTGAGCTCGTAGGTTTCCCCACTATTTTATGAAAAATCACACGATTTTGGGTATAAGTATACAAAAATCAACGATAATTTCGCGAATTTCCTCAAAATTTCCATATTGTTAGCAACAAATATAGTTGACCATGTGCATATATTCCCGCACTGTACAGTGCTTTCGGTGAGCAGATCACTGTGTGGGGAAATATGCACATGGTCAACAAAAACACGTGTTGGTGACAATATGAAAATTCTGAGGAAATTCTCGCTGGTCTCTCTACACTTCTATTCGGATTCGTATAACTAGCGAAGGAGTTTCAGCAGAAGAAAACGAACCAACACTGAAACAGATTTAACAAAATTAATTCAGCCCTCGAATTTTCTCTTACCGTCCTTTCATCGCTTTTACTAAAACTCACGGGAAATCGATCACTGGTATTTTCGTGATAATATTTTCAACTTTTTTCGTGACGGCGACCAGCGAAAGCTTTACTAACGTTACTCAACATTCCCTTTCGATCAGCAGTCGTATTCTAACTATGTCTTTCACCCCGCCTCACCAACAGGCATGGCATTCGCTTCCTCTATCGGGAGCAACTTCATCTGGCAGTCTATAAACCCGCGACACTGCCCAGGGTATGCTGGATTGCTCAGTTGGATCTGTCCCCTAGGGAGCTCTACCGCCCTCCTAGTCCGCCTGAATAACCTTGCGTTGAATACTTCAGCAGCAACATAAACAACAACACCATAAACAACATGACCAACAACAACAATAACAACAACAATAACAATAACAACAACAGCATAAACAACATAACGATCAACAACATAAACAACAAAATAAACAACAACCCGAGCACGGCAAATACCTGCATCTCAGCGTGTCATGAACTAAGTCCAGACTAGCTTCCCCCAAAGGGACCTTCTGACCCAACAGAGGGTTGTGGTACAATTGTAGTTTAATAACAGAATCGTGACAAGGTACCTGTCCACGTTGATACTAGTACCCAGTGTTAGAATATACGTTTACTTTCTACCCTATATTATAGAAATTCACACACGACTCGAAAAAACCAATGAGAATTTCCTCATTGGAGTTTCACCCGCGACATGAAAAACACTAGTAAAAAACACATTTCCAAAACCATTGCATATCGCGAATATCGCGTTTTTCACAGAGTATTACGCCACGTCGCATAAAACAGGTGAAACTTCAATATAATAAATCAAATATTTTCATAGGATTTCACTCATGATATGAAAAAAAACACAACTGGGAAATACATATTTCACAAACCACTACTGCATACCAAAACCGTCATAAATATCAAATACCATGGAAATGCAAAAATACCGTAATTTCGTCACTTCACATAAAAAACGATAATTTTCGCCCACCTCCATATTAAAAATCATCCTCCAGTTGAACGTAGCAGTGCCATCAAGACTGCCATAATGCGTGTCGGTTAGGAGATCAACAACGGTGTTACTATCAGTGCTATATCGGCCACCTACTATCTGGTGGGAAGCTTCCTCATCTGAGCACAGTACAGAAAAATATGCACATGGTAAAATA